AAGAATGGAGAGGTCCAAAATGGACACCCTATCATCAAAATTGAAAGAGCTAGAGGAGCAAGATCAAAAAAACTCAAAACCTAGCAGAAGACAAGAAATAACTAAGATCAGAGCAGAATTGAAGGAGATAGAGACACGAAAAACCCTTCAAAAAATCAATAAATCCAAGAGCTGGTTTTTTGAAAAGATCAACAAAATAGACCACTAGCCAGATTAATAAAAAAGAAAAGTGAGAATAACCAAATACATGCAATAAAAAAACGGTAAAGGGGAAATCACCACAGATTCCACAGAAATTCAAACCATCATCAGAGAATATTACAAACAACTCTATGCACATAAACTAGTAAACCTGGAAGAAATGGATAAATTCCTGGACATTGCATCCTCCCAAGCCTAAACCAGGAAGAAGTCGAAACTATGAATAGACCAATAACAAGGTCTGAAGTTGAGGCAGCAATTAAGAGCCTACCACAAAAAAAAAAAAGCCCAGGTCCAGGTGGGTTCACAGCCGAATTCTACAGACACACAAAGAGGAACTGTTACCATTCCTTCTGAAACTATTCCAAATAATCTAAAAAGAGGGAATCCTTCCCAAATCATTTTATGAGACCAACATCATCCTGATACCAAAACCTGGCAGACACTCAACAAGAAAAGAAAACTTCAGGCCAATATCCATGATGAACATAGATGCAAAAATCTTCAATAAAATACTGGCAAGCCGATTGCAACAGAACATCAAAAAGCTTATCAACCATGATCAAGTAGGATTCATCCCGGGGATGCAAGGCTGGTTCAACATACACAAGTCTATAAACAAAATTCACCACATAAACAGAACCAAAAACAAAAACCACATGATTATCTCAATTGACGCAGAGAAGGCCTTTGACAAAATTCAACAGCCCTTTATGCTAAAAACCCTCGATAAACTCGGTATTGATGGAACATATCTCAAAACAATAAAAGCTATTTACAATAAACCAACAGCCAATATCATACTGAATGGGCAGAAACTGGAAGCATTCCCTTTGAAATCTGGCACTAGACAAGGATGCCCTCTCTCACCACTCCTATTCAATATAGTACTGGAAGGTCTAGCTAGAGCAATCAGGCAAGAAAAAGAAATAAAGAGTATTCAAATGGGAAAGGAGGAAACCAAATTGTCTCTATTTGCAGACGACATGATAGTATATCTAGAAGACCCCATTGTCTCAGCCCAAAATCTCCTGAAACTGATAAGCAACTTCAGCAAAGTTTCAGGATACAAAATCAATGTGCAAAAAGCACAAGCATCCCTATACACCAATAACAGACTTAAAGAGAGCCAAATCAAGAACGAACTGCCATTCACAATTGCTACAAAGAGAATAAAATACCTAGGAATACAACTAACAAGGAACATAAAGGACCTCTTCAAGAACTACAAACCACTGCTCAACAAAATAAGAGACGACACAAACAGATGGAGAAAAATTCCATGTTCATGGTTAGGAAGAATCAATATCGTGAAAATGGACATACTGCCTAAAGTAATTTACAGATTCAACACTATCTCCATCAAGCTACCAATGACCTTCTTCACAGAACTGGAAAAACCTCCTTAAACTTCATATGGAACCAAAAGAGAGCCCGCATAGCCAAGTGAATTCTAAGCAAAGAACACAGCAGGAGGCATCACACTACCGACTTCAAACTATACTACAAGGCTACAGTAATCAAAAGAGCATGGTACTGGTACCAAAACAGAGATATAGACCAATGGAACAGAACAGAGGCATTGGAGGCAACACCCATACAATCTTTGATAAATCTGACAAAAACAAGCAATGGGGAAAGGATTCCCTGTTTAATAAATGGTGTTGGGAAAACTGGCTAGCTATGTGCAGAAAGCAGAAACTGGACCCCTTCCTGACACCTTACACTAAAATTAACTCCAGATGGATTAAAGATTTAAACATAAGACCTGGCACCATAAAAACCCTAGAAGAAAATCTAGGCAAAACCATTCAGGACATCGGAGTAGGCAAGGACTTTATGACCAAAATACCAAAAGCATTGGCAACAAAAGCCAAAATAGGCAAATGGGACCTAATCAAACTCCACAGCTTCTGCACAGCAAGAGAAACAGTCATTAGAGTGAATCGCAACCAACAGAATGGGAAAAAATCTTTGCAGATTACCCATCTGACAAAGGGCTGATATCCAGAATTTACAAAGAACTCAAACAGATTTACAAGAAAAAAAACAAACAAGCCCATTCAAAAGTGAGCAAAGGATATGAACAGACACTTTACAAAAGAAGACATACATGAGACCAACAAACATATGAAAAAATGCTCATCATCACTGACCATTAGAGAAATGCAAATCAAAACTACATTGAGATACCATCTCATGCCAGTTAGAATGGCGATCATTAAAAAATCTGGAGACAACAGATGCTGGAGAGGATGTGGAGAAATAGGAGCACTTTTACACTGCCAGTGGGAGTGTAAATTAGTTCAACCATTGTGGAAGACAGTGTGACGATTCCTCAAGGGCCTAGAAATAGAAATTCCATTTGACCCAGCAATCCCATTACTGGGTATATATCCAAAGGACTATAAATCGTTCTACTATAAGGACACATGCACACGAATGTTCATTACAGCACTGTTTACAATAGCAAAGACCTGGAACCAACCCAAATGCCCATTGATGATAGACTGGATTGGGAAAATGTGGCACATATACACCATGGAATATTATGCAGCAATCAAAAACGATGAGTTCGTGTCCTTTGTAGGGACCTGGATGAATCTGGAGAACATCATTCTCAACAAACTGACACAAGAAGAGAAAATGAAATACCGCATGTTCTCATTCATAGGCAGATCATGAACAATGAGAACACATGGACACAGGGGAGCACTACACACTGGGGTCTATTGGGGGGAATAGGGGAGGGACAGCAGAGGGGGGAGTTGGGGAGAGATAGCATGGGGAGAAATGCCAGATGTGGGTGAAGGGCAGGAAGGCAGCAAATCACACTGCCACGTGTGTACTTATACAACTATCTTGCATGTTCTGTACATGTACCCCAAAGCCTAAAATGCAATAAAATAAATAAATAAAAGGTAAAAACCTCGTTGGTTTGGAAGATACTAGATGGAAGAGGTTAGATGACCAATTCAGTGTTTTGAAGATCAACAGTAAAGGAGGGAAAATCCAGCTCTGTCAATTCCTCTATAAACTATAATTTAGAGTTAACAGTTGATGAGATGAAATTTCTCTGGTTAGAATTCCCAACTAGTAAATTAAGAAGAAATTAATATAATTAGGATATAACCAGTTGGTAACCTCTGGTGAAATCATGGATCCTCTAGGCAAAAAGTACTGGATAACCTCACGGCAAAAAAATGTTATGTGCCTACTGATAGAAGAGTATCCCATGAAGTAAGTAAAAAAAAATGCCCCCCACTCCACCTCAAAGATGTTCATGTATAATTTCAGAACCCATGAATATACAACATTACATGGAAAGGGGGAACTGAGATTGCAGATAGAATTACAATTACTGATCAGGTGATCCTAAAATGAGGAGATTATCCTGGGTTATCCAGATATACCCAATGAAATCACAAGGGTCCTTGAAAATGGAAAAAGGATGCGGAAGATTCAGTGTCAGAGTGATTTTATGTGAGAAAAACTTAGCCACTGCTGACTTTGAAGATGGAAGTGGGGCCATAAGCCCAGGTGCCAAAAAGAGGAAGGAAATGGATTCTCCCTTTAGAGCCTCCAGAAGAGGACATAGCCTTTCTGACACCTTGATTTTAGCCCATTGTGTCCTCGTCAGACTTCTAACACACAGAAATGTAAGATACTAAATTGGTGATGTTTTAAACCATTTAGTTAGTTGTGTTATTTGTTACTGTAACGATAGAAAACTAATATACCCCATTTCATAGGATATATTCTTTCTAGAAAATTTCACCTGAATCTGATGAAGCCTCTCAATGTAAGTATTTGGAGGAAATATAATGAACAGAGGAACACATTCTGTGATATTAGGGGAACGCTCAGCAAAACATAAACTCTGGGAAATTCTCTTTTTAAAATGACATTTATCAAATAAAGTATATGTGTATATATTTATATGTGTGTGGATATATGAGAGAAAAACTGACTGGTAATTTTAGGAAGTGGCCTATTATTTTATGTAGCAAACAATTGCTATAACAAACTTAATTCAAATCAGCAAATTATAGGAAGGAAAACATATTAGTGAAATTTGAACATTGAGAGTGGGTGTTTGATATTAAGGAATGATTATCACTTCTGGAGTATGTGTGTGATAATGGGATTGTGATTACATTTAGAAAGAGAAGAGGAGTGTAGGTTGCTGTAATGGATAACAATAACCATAAATTGATAATTGTTGAAGATGAGTGATAGGTACATATGTGTTTGCAATCTGTTCTTTCTACTTTTGCATATACTATTTCCATTACAAAATATGAGCAACTAACTTGACTTTGTGTTTTTTTTTAATATTAGCAACTAACTTGACTCTTTAAATATTTTGTGACTCAAACACACATGTCCAAAGTCTGGATTTAATCAACAGACTGCCAGCTTGAAATCTCTGTAGAGCTTTGGAAATAGGATCTTTCACTTTTCCTGGAGAATCATCCTTTTCTCTCCTCCTACTTACCTTTTCCCTCCATTCTTTCTGTGCTGCCTAGCAAAAACAGCCTCCCCCATCTGTGTATGTGGATGACTAGGGGGTATTACAAATTGCTTGGAATAGAATTTTCTTAGAATGAGTAAAAAAGGTAATATGCGTAACTGCACTGAAAATACCTCCCAGTATTTTACATGTTCTTCGGCTACCCACCCTCATTCCACACCTTCAAAAAAAAAAGAAGGCAGTAACATTCCATTTTTGACAGCCTGAGGTATTTTGAAATTTTGGCTGATCATATCTTCCTTGTGATCTCTGTGTTCTATTTCAGGATGGAATGGGAAACTTGAGGATCACAGAAAAAGGTCTAAAGCTGGAAGGAGACTCCGAATTCTTACAACCTCTCTACGCCAAAGAAATCCAGTCCCGACCAGTAAGTTTCTGCTGAGAGAAGGCATTATGGTTGCTCTAGAATCTAAATCTGGAGGAATTGATCTTGCTGTCAGCTGAGTACAGAGGATTGGGGTGGGGAGTAATACTGGTAGTAAGATGAACTCACTTTCACTTCTGAATCTTTGAGTATCATCACAGCAGTGGTGCTGTTGGCAAGTGAGATGACCTCTCTGAGCCTCTTTTCGTTCCTGCTGAATAGAAGGTAACAACCCCTGCTACCCAACTTTATAGACTGTACTGCAAATAATGCAAGACAGTAAATGCGGAGAAGCCTAAATACTGTATGAATGCAAGATAATATTGCTCTTTATTTTATTCATCAAGCACTTTAAAGCGATTTTTAGAAACATAGAACTAAAGAACTAGAATTTTGATTTTCATTAAGACTTTACACTATGTAGCCATTGTTGGTTAGAATCAATTCAATACCAAGCTGAGTGTGGTGCTCACTCCTGTAATCCCAGCATTTTGGGAGTGAGCCAAGGTGGGCAGATCACCTGAGGTAGGAGTTCAAGACCAGGCTGGACAGCATAGTGAAATCCTGTCTCTACTAAAAATATAAAAATTTGCCAAGTGTAGTGCTGGGCACCTGTAGTTTCAGCTACCAGGGAGGCAGAGGCAGGAGAATTGCTTGAACCCAGGAGGTGGAGGCTGTAGTGAGCCGAGATCATGCCTCTGCACTCCAGCCTGGGTGACAGAGTGAGACTCCATCTCAAAAAAAAAAAAAAGAGAGAAAAAGAATTCAATATCAGTAGCTACATTCTGAAATGGTATTTAAATCATCAAGACAGAGTATATACCCTGTTCTAGGCACATTGCTCTGCCTTGCATGCAGTATCATTATCTAATGTAGGTTCACAGATTTATCCACTGGGGTGGGGACTATTGTTGCCTCTATTTTATAGATTAAAGAATTGAGGCTTGGAGAAGTTTCATGTCAAAAGCTTCATACTTGTAGCAAGGCAAAGATTTCAAGCCTTGTCCGTTAACCATTATTTCCTTCCTAAGCTTCTTCTTTCCTTCCTTCTTCCCTTTTTATTGCTGTAGCAGTGATTCCTACAGACATATCTTGCCTTTATTAACCACTGTTATCCGAATTGTGTGGGGTATTTTTTAGTGGTTTTGATTTTTGATTGGTTGGTTTCATTTGTTTAGTTTTTATTTTTGGTTTTTAGTGGGGTGGTAGAATTTGCTGGTTGAAAAGGATTATTAATGCATTTGCTCTGCCTCGGATTGATCCCCCTTCACCTGCGAGCAAGGCATAATGTGAAAGTTCCCCCAAAGCATTACATGCGTTGTGTGCACTGATTAGCATAATTATTGAAATTCAGCAACTTGGTGCAGTGGTTAATTTTATCTGAATGTTATCCAAAGTCTTGAATTGTATTGAACTGGAGCCACTACTAAATTGCAATTAAGTTTATTTTCTTGTGTTCTTAGTAAAAGAGAAAGAGCCAGGATGTTAAAACCATCAAAAATAGCAAGTGAATTTAGCCATATAATGATTATTTATAAAATGTAACTGGAACCTATAGCACATTGGCTTGGGTACTTAAAGTATGCAGTGTATTATGAACATATTTACTGTCATTGAGAAACCTATACCCTAGAAGGAGTAATAAGATGACCCTGTAATGTGGAGAGTCAGATGATAATTCTGCCTTGGCATGAACAGAGACAGTTTTAAGTATTTAAAAAATACCTGTTATATGCATTGCTCTTAATATGTATCTTGTTTTCCCAACCTGGCAATTTGTTTAGTTGTCATAGAGCTATTTCTAGTTGAACTTACCTGTATTACACTTGTAACTTACGAGTTCAGTTTCGTCACTTCCTTCTATGGATGTTGACATACCTTTTCCGTAAAGGGCCAGAGAGTAAATATTTTAGTTTTATCTTAAAGTTTGGTTTTTTTATTTTCTTTTTTACAGCTCTTAAAACATAAACAGCATTCTTGGTTTGGAATTCATACAAAAATAGGCCACAGGGTTGTCATTCACCGACCCTTCTAATTTTTATTAGGAATAATTCCATAAATTATATAAATGCTCTTATTAGACTGGATGTGGTCAAAGGAGTAGATTTGAAGAACATAAGGAGAATAGTTAATATATGTTGAGTAAAACACCCTGAAATAAGATTCCTTGGTATAGAATTAGTCATGTCAAGATATTGAGAAATGTGTTTTAGAAGACTTGAAAACAGGGTACTGGGTGCATCTGTTGAGTCTATATGCAGGAATTGGATGTCTAGCAAATGTGTTAGCCAGCCTATCTGGAAATTGACAGACTGCTGATCCTAATTGAGAGATACACCTGCTTATAAGCTTAAAAAGTAATAATTACTCACTTGTATATTTACTTACTTTAATATTAAAATATATGAGTTATATGCAATGCTTTCAAATCACTGTTTAAAGAAAATGAGCCCTCAAATTCACTATTTTCCATTGTTTTGAATAACTTTTTAAAAAAATAAATATTAAAGTTTTATAGCCTAATATGTTTCTAATAACAAAATAAATATCTTCTAGCTGAAGGAAAAAAGACACACAGATAGGCATATGTAACAAAATACATAAGTCATGGGAGCTCTACTCTTCTGCATCACGCTTGCACACCACACCCTAGGTCAAGCCCCCGTCCATTCTCATCTACACTACTGCAACCGTCTCTTCACTGTCTGTTGCCTTATTCTTTTATAAGTCATTATCCAAATCATAGCTAAAGTAGTCTTCAAAATGTCAAGTCGGTCCACCTCTTTGCAAAGAATTTTCCATTGATTTCCTATTGCTTCTGAAATAAAATCTAAAGTCCTCACTAAGGCCTATAAAATACATAAAATAGGGCCGGGTGCGGTGGCTCATGCCTGTAATCCCAGCACTTTGGGAGGCTGAGGCAGGTGGATCACGAGGTCAAGAGATCGAGACCATCCTGGTCTACATGGTGAAACCCCGTCTCTACTAAAAACACAAAAAATTAACTGGGCATGGTGGCGCGTGCCTGTAATCCCAGCTACTCAGGAGGCTGAGGCAGGAGAATTGCCTGAACCCAGGAGGTGGAGGTTGTGGTGAGCCGAGATTGTGCCATTGCACTCCAGCCTGGGTAACAAGCAAAACTCCATCTCAAAAAAAAAAAAAAAAAAAACCACACATAATAAAATAGATATTTTCACTGAGGACTCCTTCTAATCATCTTCGTATCAGCTCAGATGTCACCTATTTAGAAAACCCTCTTTCACTTAATCAGTCTTTAGAAGAATAGCTGTATATAAACAGCACATTGGTTTTTATTCCTTATAACTGTCATTCTTTCACATTTTTATTTGTTTATATGTTTGAAAGATCAGGTGATTGTCTGGATTTTCCCCACTGTATTCCTCAGACCTCTTGCTGTGCCTAGCACATAGTATATGCTCAGTAGATGTTTGAGAAACTGAACCAGTGAATCACTGAAAATGAAAATGTCTCTTAAATCTATTCTGCAGAGGCAAGCACTGTTAACACTTTACTGTTTTATCAAACATTTTCCATGCATATGTAGTTATTAACAAAACCATACTTTGCATGCTGTTCTGTACTGAGGCAGTGATGGTCTCCTGATTATAACGCCATATATAATTTTACTGTACTTTTTCTACATTTAGATAGACAGATACTTCCCACTGTGTTCCAATTGCCTACAGTATTCAGTACAGGAACATGCCATACAGGTTTGTAGCCTAAAAGGAATAGGCTATACCATATAGCCTAGGTGTGTAGTAGGGTATACCATCTAGGTTTGTATGTGGACACTCTATGATGTTCACACAATGATAAAATCACCCAAAGACATATTTCTTGTAATATATCTTCATCAAGTAAAGCATGACTATATTATTTTTATATCTTACATTAAAAATTTTAACACCTTTCTTGAAGTATACTTCTGATAAGTTACAATCCGATAAGTTATAAAATATGTCTATGCACACGAAACCACCAGAATCAAGATAACAAATGTATCCATCACCCTTGAGAATTTCTCCTTGCCCCATTATAATCCCCCTGTCCTGCTACATCCATCCTACTTCGCCACCCGTGTTCATTTCCTAGAACTTTATATAAATGACATTATATAGTAAGAGTATCTAAATAATTTTAACAGTATATTATCAGTTTTTAAAGATCTTTTAAAAAACCATCTATTTAATGTCTAACTTAAAGAAGAATATGGTTTTTTTTTTTGTTTTGTCTGCAGTGGGCTATGTCTTGATTTTCTGAGGGGGGCTATTAGAAGTAGTTCAGGCCATCAACCTTTAATATTTCCCTTCTGGATAACATCAAAGCACAGAGAACGGAATAGAGAATAACATATTAGGTGTGGCATTGAAGGAACAACTAGTCTTTCTTTGACATGCTGCAAAAACTGAAATCAAGTGTGTTGGCATGAAAAGGCAAGGATTTCTGAGATGGTGATTCAGTCCTTAGGGCTTGCCTCTCCTTGAGCACCAGGGTCTTTGCCAGCTGAAAAAAAAACTGAGGTATTAAAGAAGGTGGGAGGAATTAGAAGTTGGCAGGCAGGATGTGCCATGTTTACTGAGTCATAACCTACATGATGCTCACATGAACCTCACATGTGGTTTTTAGCACCTTTCCCTTCACCACTTTGTTAGCTTCAGCTTACTAGTTGTTTTCTGCTGTATTTGACTGTTGTCTGCAGACTACCTCTGGGGGACTGTCTTTTGCAGAATCATGTGCAATATAATTTCTGTGTAGATCACAGCTGCCTCCATTTTATGGGGTATCACCTTCTGCTTTTCCTGCTGAAAAGAGATCAGTGTCCAGTTGAACAAGATTAGTCAGCCACTCGAAGTGAGGACAACTAATGAAGCAACACTTGACTTCATTGTGGTTCTGTGTTTCACTGATCTGAGAGGAATTGAGATTAGTTAAGCAATCCACACAATGTTCAATAGTGAGTCTGATTTCATTACTGAAGG